TCGTATTTGCGTATCCGAGATTTCCTCAACACGCGACAATACTGAGTCGGATTCTTTGTAGTGCGCACAACTGATTGGCAAATTACAACGTCGGACTGGTGGTGGTTTGTGTGAAAACTTTCGATCACGCTTCCGACACCACTCAGAAGGACAAAAACGAAATGTAAAGATCTCAGAGTGAGGCATATGCCTGGATTGGGTGGCGAAAACTCAGTCCATATACAAACTCGACTATATTCTGAAACGTAAATTGATTAGGTTACGAAGAAACTGCGCCAGCACGATGTGAATATAATTCGTACACTTAACTACATATGACAGTTGAAACATCTTGCAAACGAGTAACTGTGGGTACGCATCAGGCTTATCAATAACAACTGTCCTAGCTACCTTGCCTACCAAAATCCATGTGGTGAGAGTAGAATAATGACCTGGGATGTGCTTTGAACAACTTTCTGGCGTCCTATTCATTCAGAATACCTCTAAATCGCGGAGCGGTATTGAATTCAAAATGAACTTGAAAGACGAAAGTATGGTGAGGTCAAGTAGTAAACAACACACTTGTTTAAATTAACCATTATACAACAAATGCGCTTCATGCGCCAATTAGCCCAAATTAGGTCAGCTAACCGAGCGCGGTCGGTCATTACGCGCTCTCCACCACGGATGGCAAGCAGGTGTGTGCAACAAATTTAACCGAAGCGCCAGTTCAAGCGCTTAGTTGCATCAGAACAGACAAACCCGCGAGTCAGCAAGGCAGGAAAGATTGGATGGATTATCAAAAATCTTGAAACCAGATGTACTGACCTAGGTCTTCGTACACGCACACTGAGGGGAGTTGAGACCAGGTGCAAGTAGTCGGACGACACCCTACGCAGGCGTCAGTGGAACCATGTTCAACTTATCCGTGATTCAGATGACATGTCAAAAAGGGACTGGGCCAGATGACTGGTCGGGTTGACGGTCGATTTTACATAGTATAGCTATCTATCATATGGAGAATTGTTCGTATGTACAATCTTTGGGTATTGGTTCAAAAGTCACCGAAATGATGGCATTCGGTTTTAAGGAAGTCGGCTTTCTTTTTATTGATGCTATCCCAGTTTACACATTATTAAGCAAAACAAACATAGTACCGCATGTGATTTGACAGTAAGGCACCCTTCAGAGAGCTACATCCTAGATGTGGTCATATGCACTTGTTTGTTTGAAACCTGTGAGTAACAAGAAAACGTAAAAACGTACCGTAAAAACACACGCTTTATTGAGTAGATCTATTCACGGAAACGGCTGTGCCCACGAAAGGAATGTGAAGCTATGCCGGTTATGACTGCAAATTGCCTAGTACAGTGTCGATGATCAGTCAGTGAATTCAGGTCAACTACGCATGCTGAAAGATCGAGGCCGATTAGGAATAGAGATGGTTCAGTTGCTTTTTCATTTCCATGGGCTATTCATCATGGATAATCGAGGCAGAAGAGAGAGACAATATCCTTGTACTCACACCAGAACAGTGATGTCCATTGAATAAGACAAAATTTTGTTTTGTTTGTAAAACAACTACGGAATAGCAAGGAATTGCTGTACACTTGTTTGCGCCAGTTGACAAGGCAGTAACTCATCACCGAAATGAACAGAGGCAGCTGCGTGTAACCTTGGTAACTCGTACTGACTCGACTATCGGTCATTTGTTTACCTTACATAGTGTGACCCCGAAGTGGGGGAGGGGGCTGTGAATCCTACTGAAACTGAATACGTCTCTAGAGTGATACAGTTCGACTGATACCACAGGCATACCATATTTATCCAGTAAGGAAAGCCCATTGATCATTACGCACCCTCCGGGGATCAGCGAGTGGGGTTACTGCTACCATTCAGGTTGACCGTACTGGCGTTCACCCGGATGTGTTATAAAACTAGTGGTAAATTTGAATGCCCTTATGGGGTCTATTTTCAAGCATAGAAAAAACAAGTGTACAGTGCTTCTACTCATCACCGTGGAATGATATCCCAAGCTGAACAGAGTGGTGAGATAGCAATCTCCATGGTTTTTTGTCTTAAATATATACCGTGAGACCATACATATTGTAATCTTAGCTAAAAAGACTTTCGGGACAGTCCATTAAAGCAGCTCACACTAGTCACTACTTGTTCTGAGATTCTGCTAAAGATGTGTACGGCGACCTGCCATCCATTCAGAAGTGCCTGTTGGGCATTTACAATGAAACATTGGAGTTCTTGACACGACGAATTAGTTGCTGAAAACTCCCCGACAACCGATTTTGCCTTTCTTAGAGCAAATCCGGTAGGCGTAGTCATTGGCTTTTCATCAATCTCAATTTCTTTTTTAACGCCAGGCTGCACTCGTCCCACGAAGCGTATTCATTGATAAATCAGTTTCGCGTTAACTGGAAAATCAAGGGAATCCCAGTGAATCGGGTAGTGGGCTGTCGAAAACTATCTACAAAACTTAGAATTAGGCTGTTACGTCAATAAGATATATTTCGATATATTGAATATCGAATGAGCTGCAGAATGAGACCCGCTCAGCTGAAGAGTATCATAAATGAGAGTTAGGCTGAGCCTCCCTGTAACGGCTGTTTATTTTGCTAAAACAGTCGCTCGCAGTGGTAGTTGTCCGACAGACCCACAAAACGTGGTATGTACGCAAATTCGATGTTTTCAATTAACCATCGAAAGTTGCTTTACCATAAACCAGTGGACTATCGCCTTACCGAAGCTGTACACTGCTTCCGTTTTTGGGATCGAATTTAAGCACAACACTGGATACGTTAAAACAAACGTCTAACAAAAGGGGACCAACATGACCCGTTTAGAAACATTTCAGAAATGAGAAACATGTTCAAATAACGGCATACTTATAAAACACTTATGGTTGTCCTATCAGTTACCAAGGTCTAGTCCTATCAAAATAGATTTAGCTCATTCTGTTTCACATTCTCCCGCTTCATTTTGTCATGTCACAACAAACCTTGGCAAACTCAACAACACAAGTCTCGAAACCAACGCGGCAGACTAACGTCGCTTGCTGGCGACATAAATTCGCGTGTTTGCGAAATCCAACGCGCCGTGCACACTTGGTGGTCACGGCAAACTGAAAAATAAAACACGTACTGGGATAAATGAACGCATGCTGATCTCATTGGACATGATTGAATGAATTTCTGGATCAGCACTTTAATTAAGCACAACCAATGTACCTCAATGGAGTTGCCAGTTGTTCCTTTGCGGCAATCGGTTATAACATATGGTGTTTGGACAAGACTGAAACTCTTAAAGAAAGGACGATGTAAACACTGTCTCCTATTAACGACGTTCCGAATTATGTATTGGCTGACTATCTTTCGGTTACAAGAGAGAGTGGTCTGCTAGTCCCTTTGGACAATCATTCTGATACGCTCACTCTAATCTGAAAATATGGCATCATAGAAGAGATCACTTGGTTGACCGGTCCTTAGAATTTTACGTTCATCTCAATATCGGGCTCATAGAAGAAGTTAGCTCCAGTTGTTGTGATTTCTGCACAGAGTCAGAACTGGATATTTACGGCTATTCCAATACGCGTAATCTTTTAATGGGGATTTCTTCGTGTAAGTGAACCCAATCCATCCTGAAAATTCAACACTGAATCACATAATAAGGTTTCACAAAGACTGGTTTATTGAAGCAGACCAGATCTTACTTGGTTATAAGGCAAATATGATTTAGAAGCAATAAGGGCAACTCACGAATGTCAACCTAATGACGTATATACGCAGGTCCGTTCCCGGCATTTGTGTCATTCGTCAGTCTACTAGAAGATGGATGTGCTTCAGTTCCATTGTATTGTTTCGGAGCTCTCTATCCTCCAGCATTTCAAGTCAAACCGGGGAGCGGTAAGCTTCGGCAACGCATTTCAGAGTTTAAGTGAAAATAATGGATGCAACCTAACTTACTGCGGAATAATAGACACGGAGAACAGATAAGTAACGCGGAAGAGTTCTCCAGACTTAGTTATAACAAGCTCATAGGTTACTGACAAGCCAGAAGAGTAAGGGACGGTGCTGTTTCTACAAGCCATGTACGAAAAGGCAGTAGGTTGAATCGTGAAGGTGTGCTCGACGATGATTTGATTCTGGAAAGTTGATCGTGCGAGTAAAACAAAGCCTCTCTAGAGAATCTATCATTAAGACAAACGTTCTTTTAGATCCCAAAATCACCGAGGTATTTCCGGCGATTTATCAACTTCTAGATGAGTGCATAAGAAATTCAGCAAACAAAGTAGTCCCCCTCTTTCGGCCCGATGCACTGTGCATAGCCGTCCATCTACGAAGGTTGTTGTATGGCTCCTAAAATCCAGAAATGTGTGGTAGAAATTCACTGAAAGAAAGAAAGTAGTTCAGCAGTTCCTGATTGTTTTTAAACGAGGCCAAGTCTTTCCTGGACCAGTAGTAAATAGGAAGATGCTTTCGTGATCCCAAGCATCGTCACTGAATTAGCTACTAGTGGGGTACGGGTAGGAATGTGTGATGAACGTGTACCATGATTCTTGGAAACGGCATCTGATGTATCCATGTCCAACCGGCGGGTGTGCAACTGTCTGTTTAAAAAGTTACAAGAATACCAGGAAGAATTAAGAAGAGCCCGGTGAAGAAATGTAACCGAGGCATTCTGGTATTCTGTTACCATATTATTTATGTGCGCACATTACTCGCGGAGTTTGGAAAAATTGTTTCCCACTCTCTCCATGCATTATTAACGATGCTTAATGGTGAAAATACTATAATGTTTACGGGTCCCACAAAACTCCACAGCATAGAAGTAGTAAGCAGACTGAGTAAAAGAGCTGATTGATAAGCTCATAAGTAATGTTTGTTAAGTTATAATACAACTGTTAAGTTATACCAACAACTAGCTACCAGGTGGCTATTTTTGGAAATAATTTGGAAGGCATGCAGAAAAATTCATGCTTGGCATAGTTGTACTTTATTAGAGCTTACTGAACGGGGATCAACGTGCCGAAGATCAACTCCAGGTGTATTTTTTGATCCCGTGTCAGATACAAACGGGATTGGATCACAGATTTGTAGTTGCTTTGTTTGCAGATGCCTACTCAAACCCATGACTGGACGCCCTGAGCTAGTAGACAACTTTCTGCTGGAGGAGTCCGTAGGCAAACTGGGGGGAGGATATTCAGACGTGGCCAAGTTCTGACACTCTTCGGTCGCGGTGGGTTCCACCTGGACCGCACTGGAGGAGTCAGCTGAGAGATTCAGACGCTGAGCAAGTATATCGCGCTCCTCGGTTACGCAAGCTAGTTGTGCTCGAAGACGTGCCAACGAGGCCTCGTATTCCACCGCCTGGAAAGAAGAGGTAGGATAAAGTGATTTCAAGTACTAGAAGATAATGTACTGTGCAGGTGTGTCATGGGTAGAAAATGTAATGGGAGTATTGTCCAGCACCACATACGGCACTTCTTGGAACCTAACTTTGGACTGAATCGATTAGCTGGTTTCAAGTGTGAGTTTGGAAGTTGTGTAAAGGCGTTCTAAAGGCTCAAACAGAAAGAATGAAACTAATTAACTAGTATTCGAAGCGACACTAGCCTCAAATGCTCAGTTACGCAAACATTTTTGCCGACCAGAAACACAAAACCGGTCGAATCGTAGAAATCATCGGTGAACAAAAGCGTTTATCCGATTTACGATTGCCCTTTTGAGAAAATTTTCACGGTCGATATATTTGAAAGGAAAATATACCCTGGATATTACGAGCATAAGAAGTGGGAATCAATTTGATTGTTACAAAAATATCTTGGTAAACCAGTTAAAAGCGTTTGCCGTAGCTTAGTTCGCACGAACATTTTTGACCGAAAACTCGCTACTAATCTGCTTTGGCGGGGTTTTGAAAGAAACTCGACTGTAAATTAGGCTTGGTTCGATTTCATTTATACGGGTAAATTAAGTCATCACACTTCTCCTGCTGTGAAAACTCTTTTAAAGTGCTACTAATGAAATTCGCCTGGTTACTGCCAATTGAGAATGTAAAAAGATGGACCATATCCTACGGTGCGCGCCACATGCATAAAGTATTGGTCTCACCATTAACAATCATCCATCAAAAAACTGCTTCGGTACAAACAGTCAATCCTTCAGGAAAACGAACGTAACAATGATGTTTCACATTCTGTCTACAGAAAAACATGCTAGCTGAACTCTGTGGTGCAATTACTGTACCGCTCCCTGTGAGAAAAGCAATTTAACGTAATCGATTAATAATAACCCACTTTCAAAAAGGGTGTTCGCAGAGAGTGTGGCAATCACAGAGGAATTAACTTGAGTTCCGTTGCAACCAAAATCTTATCTTTGTTGCCTATCATACATCGGTTTACAAAGCCGTGTGAAAAAAACGAGAACAGCAAGTAAAATTCCGGCCGGGAGATGGCTTCTGGATCACATTTCTATACTCTTTCAACTGCAAGATCAACGGCATATGCATGGACGCCCTAAAGTCTTGCCGTTCCTTGACCTCAAGAGTTCTTTCTGTCGACAGGTACGTGCTTTTCAACACGCTGCGCGTTAGGGTATGCCGCAGAAGATCGTGGATCGCAAATACAGTTCTTATTCACATACGTGTGAGCGCGTGGGAGCTTGGGAAGCTCTCCAAAACTCCAACGAGGGTGTCCACTCTCTTTCAGTTTCGTCACTGATGAAGTAATGAGGTGAATACTGGAGTTCAAATTTCTCCCAGCGAGAACCTTGTCGACCTGGGATATGCAGCGACAGCTCTTGAGCGCGTGGGAGCTTGGGAAGCTCTCCAAAACTCCAACGAGGGTGTCCACTCTCTTTCAGTTTCGTCACTGATGAAGTAATGAGGTGAATACTGGAGTTCAAATTTCTCCCAGCGAGAACCTTGTCGACCTGAGATATGCAGACGACAGCTCTCATTGTTTTAACTGAACATTTGATCTCAGCAACTAGTGTGTTACATGTCAAGGGCAGCTAAAAGTCAAATTTCAAAGAGAGCCAAGAATTTCGCCGTTTTGAGGGATTGATTGAACACAAACAGCTTTCAACTCCCCTGGAAACTGAAATGATTTGATATTTTGCGCCCTGAAGACTCGAGTAAATCTCTGTCACCAACAAGAATCAGTACACCTTTCATACGAGAGTTGCGCGGGTCGGAGGCGTAAAGTGAGCGGAGTCGTTCCAGCTATAATCTAATGAGGAATGCTACCAGATCAACGTTTTGTGAATCAGGGTCAGTAAGCCTATGCCGATGTTCAGAGAATGCATAAAATGCCGGTTCAATAACTCACCAAGCGCTGCGAGGTCAGCAGATGACAGATTTATGACGACCTTTGTTGTTATGGCTGATCGGACATAAGTGCACCAGCATCCATATTCTGTTGTCAACCGTGTTGGAACATACGATGTGAATTAATGGGGAGCATGTTGGTTGAAGCATAAACGAACACATTGGGGATGTGACCTGATTTTCAGAATTTCCCACAGGCGTAAAATGGTGTAGATTGAAGGGAGGAAAATGTAGCATGCACCAACCATGGGGAGTAAATTTGTAACGGCACCCTCATTTGCACTGGACTGTACCAAGCGGCTGCAGATTAAACCATGGGTCTAGTAAATTAGTTCTCATCAGGATTTCTGGCTCCAGGGTTTCCAACGAAACTTTCTGAATAGACCGATGGGACCATTACTTTATTGAGGAAAGACTTCGGCACCAAAGTTGTTATTCGTATTATTAGTGACCGTCTAACTAAATAACAAGTGATCACATGGGTAATCGGTGACGTCGAAGCCTATATACTGTGAGATACACCACACACGAAACCTCATGTTCGACATTAGAATGTTGCTCCCGATGAGATCAATCAATACGGGATATGGCTAGGTTATAAAAAATTCCGCTTTTTTGTTTATTAAGGTTGGACACAAAGACTTGAACTGATTGTTCACGTGACCCAAACTATTTCGTTTGCTAGTCAGCAAGGTATCCTGTAGATAGAGAATGAGCACGCAACGCGTAGGCACTGGTGCCACCAATTTCTAAGCGATAATCTGATCATTGCGCAACTTGGCAAGAATATGCTGGACGGTCACAGAACATCTCAAGTTACTGCAGCCTAACAAGCGAAGTTTAGCCTAGTGTTCAAGCTAATCGGATTAAGTGTAACTCAATAAGGGAACACCTGGAGCAGAGATTATCAATGTGAGGAAAACGCAGACGTTAGTCTAATAGTTGGACGGAAATCTTAGATGCTTGATTAAATGATCTAAAGGTACGCAATTCTCGTGCGTTTCGGACTCAGTCCTTGGTATGAACCTGTGCCGATTTACTGCTAGGGTCGTGTACCAGTTTAAGCACCCGTACATTCGCGCAACGTCGATATTTTCGAATCAGAATTCCAAGTGGCAACGTCAAAATTTAACCCGATGCTTATGGTTCTTCTTAAATACTTTGCGACAACACATACCATGTCACTTCGATAGAAGTATTGTGAGGCCTGGATCCATAGTTCTCGTAAGAAGCTAAGCAGGACAGTTGTGCTGGTGTGTGGCTTCCGGCACCCCACTCTAACTGAAAGCATGGCCCAAAATCGAAACGAAAACGACAAATTTTCGTGTGTGTGCCGAAACAGACAATCCTGTTCCTGATCTGCGTTGGCTCGATAGTTCGTTGTGGACATAATGGCG